ACAATATCACAATACTACGAACAAAACTGAGAACAAACACCTCATTTACTACACTTGGAATCCAGTAAATCAGTTGCTTAAAGATGTTGAAAAGTAGACATCTTACCCTGAGATTAACTCCACTAACAGCAGTGACATCATTGAGTTGCTCAATGCTTTGATCTGAAAAGCCCCCAGATACCTTCTGCTTCTTCCTATAAATCTCCCACAATTAACCACTAAAAAGAAGCATATGCATTGGTATGAAAACACACGCATTCTGTCACTATCCCGCTCTCGCTCACTATAAGAAGCAATATTTTATACCCTGAAGGAGGAGGTGAAGATCCAAGTGCATCAAGTGGCTTCTTTTGGCCAACAGAAGGCTTCTTTGGAAGAGTTTTGCCATTATTTCCAAGCCCATTAGGAGACGTAGTAGGAAGTGTGTTGGAGTTTAACTAAGAATAAAGGGTAGAGATAAAACAAGCATGAGGAAAACAGGAAACAAACATGAAGCATGTGACATATCACTGAAGTAAGAGATACTTCTTGAAGGTTATAATAGTAAAACAGCAAAAAAAAATACACAGGAAGACCTAGGACGCAGATAAGCAATTAAAGATGTGAGAGGTAGAGTGTAGACTTTTAGTTGCTTTTTTATTATCATCCTTTACTCTATCAAAAACTAACCACAAATTTCTGTGATTCGGCTTTTATCATAAACAGACATGTGATAAATTGATTTCGAGACTCAAGCAACAACCTATTTATATACAATCTTCCTTTTTGAATCAATGATGTATAACGACCAATAATAACCAAGGATGTTTTTACTTGGACTAAAATTTGCCGGTCTGGTCTGAACTGGTCTGGTAAGGTCTGGTTTCTTTGTATTTTTATAACTATCCAAGTCTGGTCTGATATGAACTGGTTTGGACTGGTCTGATCTGGTCTGGGACAAATTACAGTCCAAGTAAAAACATCACAAGTACTCGATTCACCTAAAAAAAAGAGTCCTATTTGAGTAAGGTATGGCTTTTTATTTTGAGTCTGCTCAATCAAGATAAGCATTTATCAGAGTATAAATCATCACTTCGCTTTAAGGGAATTTACTTAAAATTTGAAACTGACTTTTAAAATTGAACTTTTGTGTGTTTCATTGTGTTAAATGTAACTATTTTTAGAACAGGGGAATATTAAATATAGTTACATTGAATTTATTAAAGTAGATAGCAGAGTATGCAAGGCATACACGTAGAAGGCATTTCATCACCATAACAACAAAAAGCACAAGGGTAACTACCGAATTACTCGTGTCAACTTGGGATGGCATGGATGTCGCGACTGAATTTTGAGCAACTCGCTGTCCAGCTGTTGAGAAACCCATTGTAGAAGACTGCACATCAAAAGTTTCATCATTTGAAGTTCCTAGAGTCGAAGGTCCTGATTCATTTTGTACATGGGTGAAGGGAGTAGAAGGCAGCTGAGATTTATGCTGCTGGTCATGTAAATGATCTGTTGGTTCTGCTTTCACATTCATCATGGGTGGTTGCAGTATACTTCTCCTCTCCTTATTGCCTGCTGACTGCCAGTGAGCTGAACTCTGTTGTGCAATCGAACCACTTATCATATGGGCAACCGGTCTCCTTGGTTCACCAAATGAATTTTGCCTGTCAAACTTAGGGGTAGTCATCATATTCATAGTCTGACTTCCAGGTCCTAATTGAGTTGGCCTCAAATGTTGATCCTGTGGCTGGGATTTAAGAGGTGTCGACATTGATGAAGTATTTGTCGCAGAGTATGGATGATAATTGTTCCCCATATTCGCAAATGGAGAAAAAGATGCCTGTGGAAAGTGAAAATGTTTCGGTTGATTGTTACTAACTCCCTGTAGAGGAAATGTTGGATGTTCCCTTTCTTGTTTTATTGCGGCCAAATTAGAAGAAGACACTTGGCTTCCTAGCAATCCATGTAAATCTGGCTGGTGATCTGCCTCATGCAACTTCTGAGCATTACTATTGATTGCCAAGTTGCTTGGATCTGTTTATATTTCCATGCAATAGATGAAATGAAATTTAGGAAGGTAATAGGGTCGGAACATTCTCACAAAAAATACAAGTGATACATGTTCTATTTAGGGTATGTTTGGATCGCAGAATATGCTAGGGGATAAGGAAAAGCATAACAAAGGATTGTTATTCTTGTGGGAGTGGTTGAACCATGGAAAATGCAAAAGAAAATGAAACATATTGATGTTTTAAAAAACTTTACATATGTAATATGTTTAGGTTTCTTGATCTTTAAGCAAAAGAAATAGTTAAACAACATGAGTTTCAGAAATATAAAAAATAAATTTCTTGTGTTTGATGAAATAATTTATTTTCTCCCATTTTTGTTTCGTCCAAATTTTCCTTTGCTCTCTATTTCCTTTCCTTATCATTTTCTGATCCCAAACGTACTCATAAGGAATAGGATGGGACCATTTGATGTTTGCAGATGTTGCTGTATTGAAGTCTGTGCCTCTGGTTGAAACTGATTGGGTTGTCCAAACTGTGCCTCTCTTGCAGCCTGAGTCAAGCTTATATTTAGAGGTTGAGCAGTAGTCTGATACACTAACAGCGTAAGTTCTGTTGTTTATGACTCTATTTGATGGGGTCTTTAAAGGGGTTTGGAGGGAAAGCCTCTGTAGGGAGTAGAGTCTACATCCTGATTTATATTTAAGATTTATAAAAATTCATCATCATCATCGTTACCCCAGTGCCGCAAAGGCTCCCACCTTCGGTGGGGTAAGGGGGTGTTGGATGTACACAGTCTCACACCTGTACTAAAGCACAGAGAGACTATTTCGGGATGACCCATAGGCAGTCTTTATAACAAAAAAGCACAAACAGTTTAGTGATCCATTTTTCTTTATTCCACCATATTCCCAAGCCAAAAAATAGTGAGTCTTTGGCTCCATTGCAAATGATGGAAAAAAGATTTATAAAAATTAAATGATTAAAATGATATGTGAATATTTGACCGCATAACATTTCAATGATCATTTATTTATTTTGCAAACATTCTATTTATCAAGATACAAACTCAGCGCTCCAAAACCCTTCATCCAAACAGATCCTAAATGCTTACCTGAGACTGAAATTTATATACAGCCATCTTAAGCATCTGGTCGCCTATCAGACTTCTCATGTGTTTAACAAAACCTTCCTTGCTAATTTCATTTCTCTGTATAAACATATCCAGTATTAGAACCTTCAAGGATGAACAGAACATTTACAAACAAGAGATTCACAAAATAATCTGATGTTCATGAGACCAACTCTTAGTTTGAGGTATAGAGTATGGAGTTGCATTCCTCTGTCCTTATCGAGTAGGGGCTGTATGTGAGGGAATAACATGGCAAACGGCACTTGTTTCCCTTGCTGATGTACATTGCCTGCAGAATGGCTCCCCATCATTGAAGCCATTTCTGTTTGGCTGTTCATCCTTTGCTGCTGGCTACTTGTCCCAACAGACATGGTATGCTGACCTGATATAGCTGTGCGCATTGACTGTTGAGTATTCAATTTGAGATACTGAGGGTCTGGATTTTGAGTTCTGTTATGCTCCAGCATAGGGACAGTGTTCTTATCAGAGCTATGCATAGATTTCTCAGGCAGAGATGGTTGTTGAGAAGCATCTTTTGCGGAATCATTTTGTTGTTGATTCTCAGAATCTTGACCCAATCGCTTTAGCTCCATCATTTCAGATGAGCTGTTAAATGATTGCTGCAACGAGACATTGGAATCCTTTAGAGTCTGAGGCAATGCATTTTCACCGTGATTGGCGGTTTCCCACTCAGCAAACCGGTTTGATGTTTGAGCGTTCCCGTCTGATAACATAGTCTTGATTAATTAGTTGTGTGTGTACATCCAAACTAATGCTAACATAGAAAATTTAGAAATTCCTTGACAGAATACTGAGAAATACAAGATCCCAAAATACTGATATGTAGCCAGGTTAAGCAATACAGTAAGAAATGTGTTTTATCTATCAAAAAATGGGGGATTCCCAGTGAAACTCAAACACTTTTCCAACTCTTTGAGTAAGTAAATATCACAAAGAATTGTAGCAAATAAATAATGGCAAACATAATTCAAAGCAACTTCCAAAGGATATAAAGGAAGTTACTTTGGATCAAGCAAGTGCTATTAGCCTATTATTCATCATAAAATATAAGTAAAGCTGAACAGGGGTCATACCCCCACATGAATCTGCAGGATGAGAAGCAGGAACATCTCCCCCTTCGATGTGTCTATTTAGGGCAGCTGTGAACGCCTCCACGTCTGCACCTGAATGCATTGTTTCATCCTGTGGAAAAGTATAATTCAATCAATCGATTCATCCCGTGAACTTTGATCCCCACAATATATATATAAAAAGCTAGAGAGAAATAGATGGTATGCAGAAACGAAAGAAGAATATCTGCCGCATGGAAGGAATGTATGGGTGAGAGAACCTCCTCTTCTTCAAGGAGTTTCATGATTGAAGGGTCCATCACAGGCGTTTGATTTCGACAAGTATCCTCCAAAGCTAGGAAGCACGGAAACGTGAATCGAGGGGAAGTTTCCGTCCCGGAAACGTTTCGGAAACGCGAAACGCTGGGAAACGCCGAGAAACGCAGGGGAAACGTAAGGAAACGTTTCTCAGGTCTTGGGCTATTGGGCCGGGTTGGGGAAACGTTTCGGAAACGGCAATCCATGTGGGCCGACGCGTTTCTTCTGAATTTTTTTTAAAGAAAAGGGTTGGGCAATCGATCGGGTTTAATGTCTTCTTTGTGAAAAATACCTGCGACCGAAGTTTGGCTCTTGCGTAAGGGTTATTTGCTTCAACCGTTGGACTGCTACAAGCTGGGCGGCTGACGGCTCACGGCTGGTCTGCTGACACAGAGACCATCATCATCGCCTGGACTGGGAGTGCTGGTTCACTGGACGGGTCCGAAGAGAAGGCAAGGGGTTTTTGGGTGAGAGGCTTCGCTGTTTCAATTTCAATTGTTTATAAGTTCTAGTAAGTGCTATGGACCTTTCTTTATCCTCAAATATGGAACGTACTTCAGAAGTTAGTGATGGTGCACAAGTGAATGAAACATTTACTTTTTAAATTTTATTTATTGCGTATGGAGATTGGATTATAACAAGGACGTATGTTTTGTTTAATTATTTTCTATTTGTTGGACATACACATTACTTATATTAGTAAAAAAAATTAATTTTTAGCTTGACGTTTCCTTGCCGTACCCGTTTCCTGATATTTTGAGTTAAGTGTTTCCCCGTCCCCGTTTCCGTCCCCGTTTCCGTTTCCGTTTCCGTCCCGGTGCTACTTAGCTCCAAAGTCCGACAGGATCACTGGTCAGGGAGTTGATTACGACAAATATTCGCCCATAACTGAATTTCCTCTTCCTGTAAGAAGACACTTTCAGGCTATAATGAAAGTCGCTAAAGAATCCAATTTCACAAAATTTTGTGATTGTAAATCAGACCTAGGTGAAGGAATTGATGTAAGAATATGAAGTTATCTATTTAGTCATGTGAAGGAAAGGTGGAGCAAGACGAGATGGGGTGCTGGCGTCTATGGATAGATGAAGGCGGAGACGGCAATTGGTGATGGCGTTGCTGGTGTTTAGACTGGTCGGATCGATCCGATGTTTACACCGATTTTGTTTACGCACTAAAAGCAGTTCTTATAATTTTAATTCGCTCCTTCTCCGCGCACCTTCCAAATTACAATCTGCGCCCCTTTTTATCCTCTTTCATGTAGGATGACGGGGCGGATGGGGTACACATAAAACTGAAACCGTCCCGTTGGATAAATGTTTGCTCCAAAACCGCCTCATTACCTGTTCGAGTAATTTTTATTTAAACTGTACCCGCCCCAATGGGGAATCGGTTTATCCACGGGTAACCGTTTGTCCAAATGATACCAAATAACCAATTTATAATCCTACTTGTTATTTATATATTCAAATCACCCTAAAACATACCGAAGTAAATATTTAAGCAATCAAACAGACTGGCCTAAATTCATTAGTATGTCATGCACCTAATATCTCTTGTAACATAATACAAAACTAGTAATCATCCCAGAATCCAAATTCCAAAAACAGGTTTAGGCCTCTATTCAGTTTAAGGCCTAAAAAGTAGTAATCCATCGCAAAAAAAAAAACAGTTTTAGGCATTAAAAAGTAGTAATCCATCGCAAAAAGAACGTTTTAGGCCAAGAAGGATCGAAGATGACGAAGAGAGTCGTTGTCGTTCTAAGCAGAGGCGCAGAGTCTTGACCTCCTGAGCCGTAATCCGCAAAACTCGAATAGGGATGTTATGTTTTTTTTAAGTGGGCCTTTTTTGGCGTATTATTCTTTATATACTTATATGATATATACAATTTAGTATACACGTTTAGCATATATACTTATTATTCTTATATGTATAAAGTTATAATTTATTAATAATGCTACGGATCGGGTAACGGTGCGGGTACCCACACCATTAGTGAATGGGGCGGTTTCGGGGCGGATTAGTATAGAACCATAACCGCACCATTATCCATTTAAAAAATTCGGGTATTCCCCGCCTTGTATCCATTCCCCAGTCAAACCGGTTTTCCCCAGTTTGACCAAATCGGTTCGGTGCGGATATCCAACGGGTCGGCCGAAATTGTCATCTCTACTTTCATGTATGTCACGCAATACTTACGCAGTTAGTTACGCCACTAACCGTATAATGCAGTAATGCACTCCGTAATCCGTATTGCTTATTAAATTGATCCTCTTTCATAAAGTTAAATAAATGGAGTTTTTTACATATATATTACCAATATTATGTAAGTTTACAAAACTGTGACCATCACTATTCAGCAACCCACAATACCCATGGCAGTTATTCAGCAAATGTGAATCCTAATGTTTTAATTTAAAAAGCAAAACCACCGTTAGATTTCCTTATACTCCGTAATTTACTACGTTTCTAACGTTATTATTATTAAAAAAAAGGGAAAAGGGGCTAATAAGGCCACGTACTAACCAAAAAAGGTCAAATAAGGTCTTATTTATGATGTTCTATCCGGTCTTCGCCATTTGAGGTGGTTCTCGGTGGAATTTTTTGATGAATTTTTTTGATCATCTTATTCATTAAGTCAAGTTTACTCATACCAAATTTCAACTAAAAATTCAACCCGGAAAGTATTCAAATGAATTCTTATAGATAACTGCGCTTTTAACTACGCAGTTATCTTCAAGAATTTATTTGAATGCCTTCCCGATTGAAGTTGTAGTTGAAATTTGGTATGAGTAAACAAGACTTACTGAATAAGATGTTCAAAATATTTTATCAAAAAAATTCACCAGTAACTATCCCAAATGGCGATGGCCGGACAGAGCCTCTTAAATAAGGCCTTATTTGATCTTTTTGTGTTAGTACGTGGCCTTATTTGCCCATTTTCTCTTAAAAAAATACGTAGTAATTCTTTAGAATATACTCAAACACCTAATATAATTCTTTAGAATGTACTCAAAAACTTGACAAAAAAAAGAATATACTCAAAAACCTAATATGACAAGGATTACAAATTCCACCACCAAATATATAAATATTTGTAATACGGAGTACAAAATAATGCTTTGATAAGTTTTTTTACAATATTCTTATATAATAGGGGATGAATCTGAAGATTGTCTAAAAAATTGTACTCTTTACTTTTAGTATGTTTTTACTTGAACTGAAATTTGCTGGTATAGTATGGTCTATTAAATGTTTGGTCTTCATATATTTTATAACTATATGAGAGTCAAGTCTGTTCTGATCTGATTTGATTAAATTAAATCTGATCAGGTACTGAAAACGGTCCAAATAAAAACATTCTCATTCTTACGAGATATTCTTTTATCTCAATTTATATTAATAACTTCACCTGCCCATTACTTGTACCTCAATTTTTATTTTTGATCTATATCATTATGTTTATCGCATACGATGTTTAGTAATATTTAGTTAATAATAAGCCTATATACTTTTTCATTCATCTTTGTATTGAGTAGTGTTTTTATTCTATTCATATAACTATAATTGACATCTTTTATGATGTTTTATATTTGATTATTTTCGATTCGAGACCAAACGAGACAAGACGTAAACAAATTAGTTCAAGAGTATATTTGCACATTTCCCCTATTTTATATTTTGTACAAAAAATAAATATTTATTTTAATAAAGATCAAAACTACTTTCCCTCAAGATTTGATCTTAAATAAGTCCCTAGCTACAAATATCATACAATAGTCCAATATTACGGTGTATTAAGCTTGATTGTGTTTTGTCTTAAATTTTAAAGTTACAATACTACCGAGTATTGATTTTTAAAACAAAGAGGTTCATAAGTTCATTCTTAAGATGAGAGGGCATACATGTCCAAAAAAGGTGCGCCAAGCAAGTTTGGGGTGCATAAAGCAATACCCTTTTAATTTTTTTAGGAAAAATTTAGGAGAATAATCTCACTTTTCACGGGTCTTCTCATAATAATTCCACATTTACATAATCTCAAAATAATTTCATCTTTGCACCTCATCTTATATAAATAATTTCACATTTATAAAGATATACTTCCTTGATGGAGTAGATGGCCCAGGAACCCCCGGCCCATAGACTCCTACTTCTCCTACACAAGTCCGTTGAGCCCAGAGAACAACTCAAGCCCAAATGCAACGGCCCAAGCCCCAAAATAGCCCGGAATACATACTGGGGTGCCTTCGGCCTCATTGGCCGGAGGCTCCAAAACTCACAGGATAGCCTTCTCTGGCATAAGAAGCTACTGGGAGAAAGCGGCGAAAGACATGAGCCTTCGGCACTATCAAGCCCTCGGTACCGGAAGGGCCTTCGGCTGAACCAAGCCTTCGGTCACACAACGCCTTCGGCTACACAGGGATCCTTGGTTACATGGAGCCCTCGGCTACACAAGGAGCCTTCGGCCAAACATGTCCGATCATCGAAGATTCCTTTTAGGGACAGCCAACCACTGCATTTAATACCACGTCACATCCGCCAACCGCATTCAATGCGGTGGACGTACCGCTGCCGGTGCCAGCCGGCTGATGTGACCCTTCGGCCGTTGGATTACTGACACGTGTCCTCTCATCGCATTTATTGCTGCTATAAATAGCAGCCCTTATTCTCCTTGTAAACCACGCTGAGTTCATTTAATAAAATCGACTCTCTCTCCTCCTATTTACTCCGACTTCTCTCTAGTTATTCCCACAATAACCCCTCGGATAATACACCCCCCGGGTAGACTATCCATCATTTGGTGCTCTCGTTGAGAGGTCTGAACTATCAAGTAAGAAACCCTCCCCCTCTACCAAATACATAACACTTACCAAAAAATGGGAAGAACCACTCGTGCCCAATCCAAAACCCTAGAGGAGAACCACGTAGCTCCCGGCGAAACCAACGGGGCTGAGGCCTCCAACAGGCTCTTAGTACCGGAGGGTGGTATCATCCTCGAATTGGAGCAGGCTACCGCTGACCTCCGTCAGCAGCTACAGAAGAATGCCCCTGATGCCCGCATTGGCCTTGATAATCGAAGGAGGGATCGGAGTGAGAACCAAGTTCCCCCTCCGGCCCCGGCCATCGATCTTCAGGCAGCCTTTGCGGCCTTTGTTCAAAACATGGCTCTCAACTCCGGAGCCCTCGTCTCCCAGACACCCCTTCAGCCCCATGCTGGAGGGAATGTTATCAACCTACCGCCACTCCCTCCTTTGTTCAACAACCCTCCCCCGGGGGTTGGCAATGCCGAGGGGGTCATAGCACAGGATACCGCCTCCCAAGAGGCCCAATCCAAGGACAAACGCCCCATGATGAAGGAGAAACCCCGAACCTCCGCACTTGAGAGGCTAGGGGGAGCTCCCGCGCACCGAGGGGTCCAAGACCGCCTCGGGAAACAAGCGCTCAGCAGGCCACAGGAAAGTGGAGCCTCCGCTTTGGGTGCCGAGGGCATGCCTCCCCCCCGAAGCAGAGGCA